TCAAGTAGCATAAAAAACGAAACCAAGCTTTTCTGCTCGTAACCACCAAGATCGGAATTCAGTTAAGGAGAAAAAAACAAATAGCGATAATATATTTATAGAAAACTACCAGTCAAATTTTTGCCAACAAAACTAGCTATTAATTTATTATCAAAAGAGGTTTTGTGGAGATTTTAGTAATTTAATAGTTGAATTCATGAGGCAATTAAAGCCGAACCACCATGGAAAACCTGGAAGCACTGAACGGCCGTTTCGTTTTAGTATGAGACTCTTCAGCAGTGCGTATTCACGATCCAGGTTTTCCATGGTGGTCTAGCTTCAATTTACATATGAGTTCAATTATAAAATTATTAATCTATTACTAAGAAATTCTAATAGTTCAAATCTATTTGAGATTATGATCAGGACGATAGTGTAATACCATAAATTAATTATCCGATAAATACACATTGAAAATGTATATATCGTAATTCGCTGAAAAAAAGCTTCCAAAATTTTAAGCTTTTATTTATTCATTAATTCACAGTAATGTGTCAAATGCAAAATCTAATCTAATCTACTATATTATGTTATATCAAAGAAGTTTAAAAATGTACAAATATTAAGTGCGAAACCATTACGTTAAACCATCAAATACATAAATGTTTAACTACTCTATCGCATATTGATAATGACTAGTCAATTGTATATCTCAATAAACATATAACTGTTTTTAACTCTCCATGTAATCATTAGATAGATACTTATTTATTCACTTGATTAATTAATAATTCACTAATTCATATCCATTAATTGGTTGGTATTTATTACGAAAGATCTTCAAGTTATGACACTTAATCATGCTGTGCTTGATAATTAGATAATAAAATAGATTTAACAATGATTATTCAACTAAAAAAGAAACAACTTGTAAATTGTAACTTGAATATGTTGAAAGAAATAGGCAAGAAAATTTTGGTATCCACTATAGGTGTCAAAATTTTGACATAAATTAGCCTTTCCAATATATATATATATATATATATATATATATATATATATATATATATATATATATATACTCAACTTTATGTATCGTCTGGTGAATCAGTCTTAGCATGTTGTGAAAATTTTGATGTTATATTTCTGTATTTGTAGCTCACATTCACACACAGGTACATACACAAGTAAATTGTGGAAGTGTAACCCAGTACATAGTTGAATAAAGCATCATTATCATATTCATTATTTTGTTGTAAATTAAAAATTCACTAATTTTGTTTTTACTTAATAATTTTGTTGTTAAGAGTGAAATGTATTAAAATATTGAACTATTTAGTATTTTGTATTCATTTCGAAGTGGTTTATTTGTTTGAAAATATTGAGTTCTGTCAGAGAAATAATGATTAAGATGTAAATATAATAAGGTATGCATTGTCTTTTCAACGTATCCTGCCCTACTATTTGCTTTTTGACAGGGATTTATAGCATCAACTGTAACATCATAGAGTGATAAAACTTTCATGTATCTATAACTACATTTCTATCATTTTAAAAGGAAATGTCATCATCTAGAAAGTTATAATATCTATGTTTTCTCTAGATGGGTCTAGCGATCTAATGAATTCTAACTCTCTATCTGTGTGCATGAGGTTAGGTAAATGTATACTAAGCACTAAATGAGATAAAGATATTGTTTAGACATACTTTAAAAGACAAGGTTTTGAAGTCACTCAACCGCAGTTTGTCTACTTTCTAACTTTATTATATTATTCACTCTCCTCCTAACCTTTTATACATGGTCATCAACTGTTATTGTTTCGTTCAAGTTTCTTTCTTCCCGTTAATAATCTTTGTTATATTTCTCATTTTTAAATAGTTTTTATCTTGATGTTTTTCGCTAACTTATCATAGTTCATTATACAAACTCATTATGATAAAAAGAATTTCAGAAGACTTTATAAACAGGACTATCTCATTTCATTGTTTTCAATGTACCATTATATATATTAAAAACAAAACGTTCAGCAAAGGGATTCTTTTTTCAGTGAATTCATATTCAAGCTGTACAATCGCATATATATGGAAATTTTGTTAAAGTATCAGTTAAAGTTTGTTCAAATTGTATTCCATTATTCCTGTTTATTATTCACTCGTTACATTTATTATTGTTCGTTAAATATACGTATTCGTATACACATCTCTTTCTGATTTTCTTGACTGACATTTTCTAACAAACATGTTGCACACGTTTTACTTCAGTCATACAGCATGCTCCTTGTTCATTATACACAAACACTTTGGTTCTATATCTGAAATTGCTTGAAATTATTTTCTCTACATTCTAACAATCGTGGATACGTATTTGAATCTATGAACACGTATCCTTCTGACAACAACAAGTAACTCGTATATTTTGTATATATTTGTTTTTGTTTCCAGTTAACTCACTCATTTTTATACGTTTTGTAGTATTAATTGAGTTAAGGTATTTTCATATTATTATTGGTCGGTCACAGACCATACACATCATTGTGTGTTAATGAATTTACTTATCGAGAATCAGTTTTGAAGTTCAACTTTAAACTGCAATTTTATCTTACAGAATCAACCAGCAATCTTCAACAAAATGTTATATTTTAAGATAGATTAATTCACTTATCCTATTTTTTTATCGGTTCCAAAATGTTTTGGGAAATTATCATAAAACGATACGACAAATAAATAAATCTAATATTAAGTTATAAATGATGAACCGTACACATCTATGTCAGTTGAGGTTAACTGTAAGTGTATCATTTCATTTTAAAAAACCCAGGAAATTATTAGAATCATTATTTTAACAAACTAACTGATTTCTATGAACATAATGAAATAATCAAGTTAACAGAAATGATTACTTTTGAATTAGAAAAACACATGTAAATGAATCACATTGTTTTGACTCAGATCTTTATCAAGTCTTACTCAAATATAGTGTAACATATCCATTTATGAAGAATGATAAATCGATTAAAATAATCTTTGATCCAATAATATCAGTGAAATAGATTACGTAACTAAACATGATAAGTGAAATGTACAAATCGATAGTGTGACAACAGGTTCAATAGTTGTGGTAAGAATAATGAAAAGTAGATTTAACAACTTTGGTAAATAAATATTAAAATTCCAATATTCACCAATACAGAATTACCGATCAACTAATTAAACATGTTAGAAAATCCAAACCGTCATTCATATGAAGTGAGCCAAAATAACTTTAACATATGTATCCGAGAACAAATGAATGATAATTACTACAGAAATATATTATGGGTTTGAAAATAACTAATAAGAATATTTATTTGTTCATTAATTTAATAAACGAATTCATCAGTCAATTGAAGCTAGACCACAATGGAGAACCTGGAAGCACTGAACGACCGTTTCTTCCTAGTATGAGACTCCTCAGCAGTGCATATTCACGATCCCGCCCTGCGAGATTCATTTGATTCATTAGAATAACGATTAGTCTATTAGCTAAGTTAATAAATATTTATTACTTCTTAACAACTTACATAATTTCTGTAAAAAAAACACTGATTTTTTTCTCAAAAAATCATTATCTTCAAATTAATTGTATACTGAACCCATTTATATAATTGAACATTGAAATAGAGACGGTAGTATCACAAAAAAAGATATTGATGATTAGTTGATAGATAATTGTGGTGAACTATCTACATTTTTATAACAAAATAGACATATATTATATTTCACGATAGGAACTTTACAGCTTTTCCAATGAAAACAAGCAATAAAATAACCACAAACAATTATCTTCTTAGAATTGTTTCTATTGTTGCCTTATTTTGTTTTTAAATAACTTAGATTTTTTTATTACACTCAGTGTTTTTCTTTTTTATTATTTTGCTTTTAAGTAAATAAAATACTTTCCAAGTTAGTAATGAGATTCATTGATTAGAAACTGGTTAGAGACAATTAACACATTTAAAAGTGGATAATATTCAATAGATTAATGCATATTTTGTCGCCATATCAACATATCATAAGAATATGTACACTGATTCATGAGTTGAATCACAGTAACTAACTGATATATGTATACATATGTTTACCGAAATAATTTATTCATTTAACAGAAGACATAAAATCTGTAGTCTATTTACATTGTATTGTTATCAGAACTAAATTTATTGTTTATATTTTCAATATTATTATTATTATTGGTCAAATTGTGCGTTGATATCTTATTATTGGTTTTTACACTGCCTTCTTGTGGCGGGGGTGTTGTTTACGGAATTGAGAGGACGAAAAGCAAATTTCCGGCATTTTAACTGGGTTAGTAGACATGGAGAGTCCAGCTGGGGGAGTTGGAAAACTCTGATTCCCAACTAATGGTGTACATGGGTTCCAGTACTCTGAGGGAACAAATGGCGGATGAACCAACTGTAGGTCACCGGCTACCATGGGACTGCATCTCCTTACGATACTCCACTGCCCCGTGGATTAGACCTTTAGGCTGAAGGCTCCGGGTGTGGTCACCTAAGAAAGCCATCTGCTTCGGTCTGGGCACCCGGGCAGTATCTGGTGCCCCCTCGTACCAGTATTTATGTCGTCAAATAAAATAAATAATAGTAAATACAGAAGTGAGTTAACAATAACCATCATCAGTTGAAAACATAAACTTAAGTAACTAGTTTTCTTTTTCCTGACAAATATTTAAGAGAACTGTAAACTAGGATAAAAGTAAGAAGCTTCTCTTTTCAATAGAAAAACATTATAAATCAAAATAAGGTATACGTTTTTGTTTAGGTTGATTTTTGAACAATTATTTTCCGCTTTGTTTTTGATGATAAGACTGTTTATTGAAGAAGGTTAATAATTTTAAACGGAAACAGAGAAACAAATATATTGATGAATTTATGATGTAATAAATTATGTCAGATTTCTTTTACAACTTTCATTAAATTCATTTGCTTAGCTGTGGTTATGAATCATTTACTATAAGTAAGATAATGGTTGATGATGATGATGATGATGATGATGATGATGATGATGATGATGATAATGATGATGATGATGATGATGATGATGATGATGATGATGATGATGATGATGATGATGATGATGATGATGATGATGATGATGATGATGATGATGATGATGATGATGATGATGATGATGATGATGATGATGATGATGATGATGATGATGATGATGATGATGATGATGATGATGATGATGATGATGATGATGATGATGATGATGATGATGATGATGATGATGATGATGATGATGATGATGATGATGATGATGATGATGATGATGATGATGATGATGATGATGATGATGATGATGATGATGATGATGATGATGATGATGATGATGATGATGATGATGATGATGACGATGATGATGATGATGATGATGATGATGATGATGATGATGATGATGATGATGATGATGATGATGATGATGATGATGATGATGATGATGATGATGATATAAATAATAAACCAACAATCCGAATATAAATAACAATGTAAATTTCAGTTTATTTTTAATAGAGTACAATAAAAAATTGAATTTTATCCGGCATACACTAAATGAATGTAAATTGGAAGACATTTCTACAAAAATCAGTCTATAAATAAACAAATCAAATTGTAATATTGAATGTTATATCTATCAACAGAAGAACATTTACCGGGTAACCATTTACGAAAATATTTTAATTTTTCCCTAAAATTACGTTACAATATGTTTAAATTATTGAAAAAACAATGTAGTTAAAAAGTGTAAGCACAAAAACCTCCTTTCAACTTCACAAATAAGCTTCTTGTAGATGTAATGAGTTCTTTAATTGTGAATTAATAAAGAAAAAAACTGATCATTATCTTAAGTGGTGAATATCGCTAAAAGTTGACTAGTCTTCGGTCACTATTCCATATAATATTCAGATTGTATTTTAATCAGGTTTATTTTATTCGAAAGTTATGTTATTTTATTGAGCAAACAATGGTTTTCTTTGGTTGATCAGTTATTCCGTTTCTCTATTTAAAGCAATTGTAGTCATAATTTGATTTTCGTTAGTGAGCTTCATTAACTTACCTCAACATAGATTATATAACTAATAAATCACAACGAATATCATCTAAACAGTTTGTCTTAAACTTTCAAAAGAACTTTTATTGTTGCTATACTTGTTGCTATACTTTATGTAAATACATCTCCTTACTATCAAAAGATTATTAATAAGCAAGTGAGCTGAGAAATCACTATTCTGATGTATATTTGTTTTCAACAACAAAAAATGTAGACCGTAGACTGCTTTTGTTATAGCATCGACAAAGAACTTTCTTCAGACCATAATATGTATAATACGTTGCTATATTCAGTTTATTTTGGTTTCAATCGGATTAGATAACTGATAGACACTGTCACAGGTATCTGAACATTTTTTCCTTCTATGAAACGTCATCCACCGGTTCAAGATCCAATATTACTTTAAAAGACTATAACAATTATGAATATCCGTCCTATAAACAGATTGGAAATCCATATTATAAATCTGTGTTTGCTCTAACTGCTTTTTTAACTTTACTGACAATACTATTTGGTATGACTGAGCTAAAAGTACTAAATACAAAAAATGATAATATGTGCGGTTTCTTCTTCCTCCTCTCATCAGATGTACCTTATTTTATAATTACTACACTATACCTGATTGATAACTGTGAAAAATTATTGATTGTCAAAAATATAGCTATATATACTTTTTAATTAACATTAAATTCCGGCGGAAAACTTAGGGCAAATAAAATTCTGTATTATTTAGATTTAAATATTGAAACTTAAGCAACTAATTCTTATCAAATATTGCATAAAACAAGTGTTTACTAAATACTCTTTCAAAAATATACAGATTAGTTTGGATTGATATCATGAATGGATCAATGTTGGAACACTATTTAAAAGCTGGAAGCACTGGACGGTCGTTTCGTCCCATTGTGGGACTCCTCAGCAGTGTGTCTACGATCCTGAAAACAGGACTCGAACCTTGGACCTTCGTTCTTGCACGTGAACGCTTAACCTATAAACCATTTAGCTGAAGACTAATTTTAAGAGATAGTTTCCAAATATTGTAGAACCTTCAAGTCTTTATATAAACTTTAATTTCTAGAATAGAAATAATTATAAATAAGAACTTAAATTTTATTATCAACCACTGGATTGCTGGAGGCTCAGAATTCAGATGGATGGTGAGAATCTACAAGTCAGTTGGGAAGTTAAGTCACCAATGTCCAACGGTGTTACTGTCTAACTTCAACCAATCCACGATATTGCGCAACCGTTCACTATTGTCTTCAGTGAGTAACCGCATCCCACCAGATACGGTTGAACTCTAATGGCCGCAGCCCCCATTGAATGGTGGTGTAATATTACTCCACTAATGAAATCGATATAACAAACGTAAATACATATATCTTTTATAGTCATCGGTCCAATCAACATTTGAAGGTTCTGATATAAGCTGTAAAACTCAGAAAAACCTATAAAGAATCACATAACTATTATAACGTGTTTTAGGATTCCTTTGAAGAGTCCTTCGGGATCTTGAGTTCCGGAGGTTGGCAAGATAATGGTGTCTTAATGAGTCAGAATACATTGGCACGCAAAACTTCATAGACTTGTCATATAGTTGGATCGATCGATATGCAAACATTTAGCTATTGAACTGGTTAACTCTACATGATTTAGCGACTTTCATAAATCATTTATAATACTCTAAAGTTGATCATATTCGTAGCACTTGAACTTCATTATGTTACGTTCTAAACGTTTATATATTCTTGAATAATTTATGGGTCATACAGGATATTTTGACTACGTTTTGAAATGATCAAGTCAGTAAATATTTTGATTGAGAAAAAGAGGGAGCCGTCACTGGAAAAGTTGACACTGTATTCACTGCGCGCCCTCTTCATGTCGACGTGAGCGGGCTCAATTTACCAACTAACCACAACTACCTTCTTAATAGTGGCCAAAAGCCCTAGCTACTAAGTCACCACGACATCAGTCACCTTAAGCTTACGAGATACCCTTTTAATGTGTGCAAACAGCACGAAACCTAGGTCCAGGATTTCTCGTCGACTACTCCGGACAATCGCATTATATCGATTAAATTTTAACTTTAATAATATTTTTTTTCAGTACTAAGGGTTCTGAAAAATACTTTTGGTTATATTTGATATGATGGGATAAGATGATATTATATAGGTCAGTATTTTTTTGCATCAACTCCTTAGAAATTTAGGCCAAAGTGACAGGTGTACACTTAGTTCAATATAACACATAAAGATCAATATTTTCTCGTGTCAGTTCAGTATAAAATTTGTTTTATATGACGTGTGAATTCTCGTTCAGTGTGACAACTTTACATCCTGTATTAATTTAGGTGAACTACATTTATTTTATTTTTACAACAAATGTATGTATTTTTCTTGCTCCTCCTCTATTAAGTGTGTGTAAAAAATTAGTAGGTAAATAATTCCATTTTGGTCTAATATTGATTTTGAAACTTGTTTGTAGATGTATTTTTTAGAATTTAAAAAGTGTTCTATGTACTAGATTTCTGTGTTCTGACTTCACTTCGTGGGATTTATCGTGGTTACCACTAACTAACATAAACGTTAGGGTCAAGCAATTGTAGTGGTTCCCGATTGTCAGGTAAATGCAGTTATACTGGGAACTTAACAAACTCGATACGTACATAATCGAGACGACTCCTCAGATAGCACAGTTGACCACTTAGTTACATCAGTGCAGATAAGATCAATTATACATTCATAGAGACATGATTAAAAGTATTCTTCTGACGATATTTATTGTTGTCCTTGTTAAAATTCGTTTATTATATTACAGAATATGTGTAATGCAGTAAATTTTCCCGATACTCATGACTTTTACATAGAAGAGGCAGTATTCAAAGGTAGATATTATTTTAATTAAAACTCGCCTAATCCATTTTACGCATTTACTTTATAACGCTTATTTTAAATATCCATATTATTCTATGGGAAAATTGATATTATCAACTAAATTAGTTCAGATAAAACTTTATTTTATAATGTAAAGTTGACAATGCATTAAAATCTACCGTAGACGATAAAAAGCGCAACATTTTAAAAATATATACTATTAATTAACATAGTCAAAACTAATTAATGATATTTATGTATTATTACATTATCTTATTTACTTATTTATTGAATAAAATAATAATGGGAATAAACAAACAAATAAATAAATAAATAGAATGACCAATGAAATTTTAGGAAAAATTCAGCTCATTTTTTTATTGGTTCTTTGTAAATTAAATAATAACCAATAAGTAATCTGTTTTATTTTTATTTTTTATTTATTTTTAAAGAAAAAAAATGTATGATTAATTTATATAACACACGTTATTTAAGTTTATTTTCAATTACAAATTAATTAACAGGTAAATATTAATTATTTAATAAAAGAAAATATATCACTTAAAGAGTACAATAATAAAACATGCTTAATATTATGATACAACATCATCATAAACATGTAGATATTATAAAAATCATCTTATATACTTATTGGATATGTTCAAGTTATGTTAATTGTATGAGATATAATACAGTCTATCAAAATGATGATTTATCATCTGTCTATAAAATGCCTAAGAAACATTCAAGTAGGTTTTAATTATTTATATATCAATACTTTTTTAATAAAATTTCAATTATTCAATGGATTTATAATAAACAATTGTTTAATGTATAAGTTATTTTAATGGTTGGGACCATGAGTCAATTGAAACTCATTGGTGACTGACTTCAAGAGGTATTTCCTGGAGTTCTAGTGAGAAGCCGTGACCAATTGAGTTCAACCAGGTTTGTTGTGAGATATCAGCTCACTGAAGACAATGGTGTACGCAATGGTGACGCTATTTTGTGGATTGGTTGAAGTTAGACATTAATATCGTTGGATGCCTGCCAGTTTAGTGATTTAATGGTTTGGCGCTCGCACGTGAGACTGATAGGTCCTAGGTTCGAATCTCGCGGGGGGGGATCGCGGATGCACACTGCTGAGGAGTCCCGTACTAGGACGAAACGGACGTCCAGTGCTTCCAGATTTTCCATGGTGGTCCAGCTTCAATTGACTCATGATCTCAACCATTGAAATTACTATAATATTCATAAAATCCTTCTAATATATAAGTGTAATATATTTCAACAGTTGAATTCACTAATCACTTTAAGCTAGACCAACATTGAAAACCTGAAAGTACTGTAAGGCTGTTTCGTCCCAGTGTGGGACCCTTCAACCGTGCGCACCAATGATGTGGCACACAATAGTCCTATACAACGACGAAACGGCCATTCATTATTTCCAGGTTTTCAATGGTGGAGTAGCATAGATTGGCTCCTGAATTCAACTGCTAAAACACTACAATCTCCAAAAATCTCTATCCTGATAAATGATAATAAACATTTATTTTACAACAGTTGAGATCATGAGTCAAATGGATTTGGACCACCATGCTTTTAGGTTTTCCATGGTGGTCTAGCTTCATTTGACTCATGATCTCAACTATTAAAATTATTTTAATATTGAAAAAACCCTATTTGATGTTTATTTTTCAGTTGAAGATCATACGTATCATATTAAAAATAATGATATTTGTTCGTTTTATAAATAAACCTTTGCAGTAATCATTTTCTTAAATAAGATGAAATTTTTCCGATCTGGTTTATCTACTGACGGTAAGTAATTTATTCAATCAGAGACTATATTTCAAATTTGGATGAATGTTGATTGGGTTTAGTTTATTTCTTTTATTTTTAAAATGTAATGAAATTTAAAAATGTAAAAGTATTTTACACTTTTTATTGGACACTTGAAAGAAAATATATGATAAGATCAATTTTAACAGTTTATTTCTGAATTTCGTATTATTTCACTGTGCTTAAAAGTGTTTCAAAGTTTGAGTAATAATCGTTAAAATGAATCATGTGTGAATTAGTTCCCAAACTCTTGGTCTGAATAATTATCCTAATGAGAAAACTATGAATTTTACGAAAAATGAACTAAACTTATGCAAAGTCCTTCTTGTTTAAAATGAATTATTATTTTTATTACACTGTATCATGTTTTCAATAAGACCGTCAAATTGATCAATAAAAAAAACTGTGTTTAACCGTCCTATTTGGTGAAGAAACAATAATATATGAGCTAATAAACAAATAATTTTACAAATGTGCTGTATATACTTGGGTTTTCTTAACTGTTTGCACACAAAATCTAGAACTGTACAGAACTCAAGAACTTTAAGGATTTGCAGCATGGGATATGTTTTAGACGATTTAAAATCATTTCAGAAATATCTAACAGATTTTAGCACTAAAATGCCAGTGTTTTCTAGGGTTTGTCAGTAAAGATACATACTAGGTGTTTCAATTTATTTTCTTGTTCATGTCAGTATGTATTTGCTCAACACAAAATTTTAAATTATAAGGTTTAGAGAAAGTTTATAATACGAAGAGAGACTGTATTCCAATAATTTCTTCAATTGAAAATTTTAACATTTATTCCTCGTCATGAAATTATAGTGTATGTGCAAACATAAGATTAGTTTTCCGTAATATTAACATATGAAGCAAAGTTATCATTGAAGGTTGAACCACCAAGGATAGAATTTGCAGAAAATAAATTAGAGTTTTGATTTGACCTTTAGTTGAAATTCGTTTCTGTAGGTAGATTGAAATACAGAAGTATCGGTTAAGCTGTGGAACTATTTAAACATAAAGATGTCACCGTTGTTTTTTTACTAATCATATATTTTTTATCAAACTAATAACAGAGAGTCAAACTACTTTGATTGACTATTTAGTTTTCAAAACAAACTTTTGATTCCCTAGCATATAAATCCCTTTCAGCAATGGCTGTAGTTTTCTGAAATATAAATGTTTAGAATTATTGAATATGTTGTTAAATTTAATTGTTCATCCAGCCAATACATTATTGCAATAATTTATCAAATTAGTCGAGCATCACGTCAAAAACATCAGCTTGTCTAAAATTCATGTCTATATATCAAATAAGTATTTGACATTTTTTTGATGAATGCGAAATATTTGAAATCCTTTTTATACTATGTGCTAATATATATTTGGTTGAAAAATAACTAGTATGATAAAGATGGATAGTGGCTAGCAGTGAAATCCAAGACGCGTGTTTCATCCTATTTAAAACTCGTCAGCTGGATGTACCTACATCTCAGAGTTGATGTTCACTCTGGAACTCGAACCCAGTACCGTTCGCTTTAGTCGTCGTCGCGTTATCCAGAGTGAACATCAACTCTAGGATGCAATAACACCCAGCTGACGGGTCTCAAATAGGACGAAAACCGCGTCCTGGATTCCACTGCTAGCCACCATCCGTCGTTGCTTATAATGCTTGTGAATTAAGGCAATATCGAGGCAGTTCGCATAGGATGCACATATACTAACAAGAGACTGATCAATTGCAGTCCTGAACATCAATGGAAAAATTCAAGAAAACAGTATTAAATAACTTTATCTACTATAATACTTCAATAAAACTAGTTCCGACTTTATTTTAAGATATTTGTTACTTAGTCAAGATGCATTTTCGCTGAAAAAGTTAAGAATGATAGATGTTAGCAAGTATATAAATGTCATCCATTTATTTGTTATAACATATATTCTATTGAGAAATTCTTTTGTATAAATAAAACTAAATAACTTATCACTCATATAGTTTATAATAATGGTAAAGATACCTTAGTGACGTTATACTTTAACACCCTCTAGTTGATTTGCTAAATTTTTGAAATCAATCAGCAAGAGACTTTAGTTTAACATCAGAAATGAAAAACGATTTTAAAGAGAATATTAGAAGTCTGGTAATCAGAGTCGCCATAATTGAGTCCCTGGTTTACACTGACGTGTATTATAAAGAAAATAACTATGCATAGCCATTGTGTTTGTAAGGGTGGACTATATAACATGAAAACCTCATCAGAATGAATTTGAATAATATGTTTTTCGTTGTATGACATTCTTTTTATAAAAAAAATAGATTTACTAGATTCTTTTAAATTAACATTTTCCATTGAACATAATAAGAGTTCAGTCTTTTGTTATTCAATACATGTGATTAATTATTTTCGTCTATGTGAATGTATGATTCTAGTAAAAATTAATTAATGACGACATTTAGTACATAGTTTTATGGAATTCCATTCTCTTGTTTAATTCCATATTTCTCCATGGACACTGACAGATACAATAAATTATTACTTATACTTTTTAAAATAACAAATAATCTCTTCTTTGATGATGATTGTCATTAATTCGACACTTCTGAATATTTGATATTACTACAGATAAACTTATGTGAAACACACCAGGATATATTATTTGATGTGTAAGTTGAAAAGGAAAACACAACACATATCTGTTTATCCAACTATCTATCTATCAATCAATCAATCAACATTGAACAAATGTGGTTTATCTAAAAATTAGTTAATCTCTTAGTTCGAATGTATATTTGTTATATGTATATACGGTAAGGTAAACAAACAACAAATTATTGGAAAAAACTATTTTTAAAATAATACATGAACCTATAAAACCGGAAAACCAAAATACAAAATGCACCCTTGTTTTCATATATTTCTCTATTTTACAAAAAAAACATTTAAAAAATATATATCCCATATTAGAATATAATAATATTTATATACATATATAAATTAAGAATTATAATGATACACATTTAATTAGTATTTCATTAATTGAGAAACTTTATTTATTTAATTAATTAATTATTTCAATAGTTGAAATCATGAGTTAATTGAAGTTAAACCACCATGGAAAACCTGGAAGCATTTCGTGGAGTTCTAGTGAGAAGCCATGACCGGTGGAGTTCAACCAGGTTTGTTGTGAGATATCAGCTCACTGAAGACAGTGGTGTATGCAATGGTGACGCGATTTCGTGGATTGGTTGAAGTTAGACATTAAAACCGTTGGATGCCAGCCAGCTCAGTGGTCTAATGGTTAAGCACTCGCGCGCGAGACTGACAGGCCCTGGTCTAGAATCTCGCGGGGGGTGAACGGGGTCGTGGATGCGCATTGTTGAGGAGTCCCATACTAGGTTTTCCATGGTGGTCTGGCTTTAATTGACTCATAATTTCAACTATTAAAATTTCTAAAAAAACCCTTTCTGATATTTAGTATTGTAGAAAACATATATTTAAATATTGAAAAAGTATTCGAAACATCTCTTGAGAGTGTATTTTCAAAATATTAAATAATTAAGTGAAAAACAGAAATAATAAACAAGTATTTATTGATGTAAAAAAAGAGTTTATCGAACTAATAAATGTGTTGGAGATACTAGAAGAATAGTATTCACCACTTAATGACGTAGAATATAATGATCCATAAATGAAAGTAGTATTACATTGCACACTGTGAATTCAAAACTACAGATTATCACTAGGAACTAGTGTCTCATGAGTTAAACCAAATAAGAGTTTCAGTAGAAGTCTTAGGTAACATTAAATATTTAAAAGCTATTCAAGTTGAAAAATGTTGGCAGATAAAATTTCCCCCAATAGCTTGATAATATCGTGATTATTACAGAATTTGGGTATTAATTGTT